AGTAAATGAATGATCCATAAACTTGCAAGGAAAACAACGAGAACAATTTGTTTCACAATGTGGACCAAAAAACCTAATCCAATAAAGCATTTGTTACAATAGTTCTTTTTTAAAAACTCTGCTTCTCCCTTCATTCTCGGTAAACGCGCACAACAAACTGAGATAAAATGCAATCGATTACCAAACACGAAGGAAAAAATATTAATTTCTTTTTAAAAATCAACTGGTTTCTTTTGTGCGGCTGGTTTTGAAAAAGCAATTTCCCGCGCGCGCCTACAAATTCACAAGTGGTCAATCTTAGCGGTCCGCAGTTCTAAAATTCGGATCGCTCAGCTGGTAACCAATCAGAATTCTCTTCTTCATCATGTGCCAGTTTACCATATATTGTTTTAAAATGCTCTGAAACAGTCTAAATTTTAATAATACTTCCATCTCAATCACGGTACTTTCGCAGGCTTAATTAATGCTATTCCGCCATTTTCGAATTTCTTGAGTAGTCTATCATTATCACAATCCGTAATTTTTCCCCTCGATTGAAAAATTAATTGATTTTTCTCGCCTCGTGAAGATTCATTTAGCATAATTACTGATACACAAGGATGCTCAACCATGTGGTTGAAAGAAATTCTTCTTGAAAGAGATGAAAAACAATCTACGATTTTGGCAAAGCTTTGGTTTTGAAATCAAAGGTTTGTTTCCTGCAAACTGACATCATTATCACAGAACTGATATTTTGAAGAAATTTTTTGTGGTAATATTTTGACTTCCTTAAAAAACCGAAATGCATGCCATTATCCACTTGTTGATGAGCCTGTTTTGACCGCCAATATGATATAATTACCGGTGGTAGATTAGTCAAATTAAATAACGTAGTCTGAGATAAGGGAGATTGTGTTCGGCCCACATTAAATCAAATTTCCTGGCGGATTTCTAATTATCAAAACTCAAACGGATGTATCCGTAAGAACCGGGCTTAGTCACTTCTGACAAATCTATTCCTATTTTCAATTAAAAAAAGTTCTTACGATTCATCAAAATCTTCATGAAATACATAATTGTTCGTACTCGCACTGCACTTTCAAAAAGTAATGGTCACATTCTCAAACTCTGTACAAAAAAGAAGTACCAAAACAATACAAAGCAACACGGCTGGCTGTTTGACTTTGTTTTGACAACTGCATGGTTGTCAAAACAAAGATAAGAGCAGCTTAGACTGAAATGGTAATTAATCATTCCAGCGAATTTTTTTCCTTGTATAAGAATACTTTGTGTATCATAGGCTCTTCATTCTTTTCTCTGTAACCTA